TATATATATATATATATATATATATATATATATATATATATATTGCAACTGAGTATATTTTTTAAATTCAAATTTAATCATTGTTTTCTTTAAGGCATTAATCAATGCACTTTTAAATATTAATTAACAAGTGGTATAAGTGTTAATTAACAAATGTTAAGAAATTAATTTACAAAATTATTTTAATTTAAATGATGAAAATGAATGATAGTATGGTAACGCACCCGGTGAAGAGTATTGCATGATCCCAACGTTTATTATTTTTATCATTTTGATTAATATTAGCTTGATAAGTGCAAAATAAATCGAGCAAAAGTGTAGCATTGCCATTTGCATGCAAATTGCGCGACATTTCAACCTTTTTTTTTAAAAAATTAAAAAAACTTTTTTTAAACTTTTAATTCAAATTGAATAATTGGAACTAAAAAAAAGCAACTTTTATAAATCTTCTTTTTATAAACTTACAATATTTGTATCAGTAAATTATTTTGATAAATTACTTTATGATATGAATGGCTAATTAGGTTTAATTAACGATTGACTAAACAATCTAATTGTTTTCTCATTGATAAGCTAATCATTTTTACATGCAATTTAGTTTAATTTAACAATATCAACCTTTATTTTTGATGTTTATAATTTAGTAACAATCTAATTAATTGCTGATATGATATCGGTATCAATTATGATTGAGAAAATAATAATTAATTTTCCTACATTATTTGACAATAATTATTAATTATCTTTTTTTTATCATCTCTTTTTTCGGATTTAATTATCTTTTATTAAGCTAATTGCTGATGTGTTATAAATGATTAATGGATAATGAATGCTAATAGACATTAGCTTATGATAATATTTAAAAATATCATTTTTAGAAAAAGAAAAAAAACAAATACCGGTGGTACTTTCATTACAGCATAATGATTTACAACTAATTGAATTGAATGCTTCAATGATGAATGTTGAAATAAGGCATTAATCTGAAATGAATAAAAACTTTATTACTGAAAATACATTACTTAATAACTATTGAACATAAATAATTACTAGTTTTAAACTAGCACTATACCAGTAACAAGTTTTGCTGGAATGGTAATTATCAGTCATTATCATCATCAAAATTTTATTATTGGCTTATCAACAATTCTTATCTCACTGAGTAAATTGCATGCACTTATGTTTTTTGATCGTAATTATCAATCATTAATTAACAGTTCTTATCATCATTGTCACTAAAAGTAAATGATTTAATTTGATTTATATAAAAATAAAATGTTAGCTTCTTTAAATTGTACATTGTTTACAATAGCAAATGCATAATTTTGAAGGATTAAATCGGCCTTATTATCATATAATTGCTGATAATATATCCAAAGAGCATCATCGATAAATACGCCAAGCTCAATTGTTAATTTATCATTTCTGAAATTAATTTTTTCTACAAAGATTAAATGTTAATCATTTCTGATGATAAGAATATGAAAAAACAACAAAGATGATAATGAAAAAATTTTTGAAAAAAAATTAAAAAGGTGAAAAAATTAAAAATATTATCATTTCAGTGATAATATTTTTTGATAATTTTATCACATTATAAATGTTACCTTAATTTACTATCAATTGATGATGGAAAAAAATTTTCCTCGATCTCGATTAGTTGGATGGATTCTAAAAATTAATTTCCAAAAAGAAGAAAATAAATGAATAAATAATAGGTTTTATTTGTAATCTATGATATGATAATGATATAATGTGATATGATATGATATAATATTACACTCTTCTCGCCAATTTTTCTCCTTTTGTTTCAGTAATTTCCAAAAATTTAAACAACTTTCGCCACAGTAATTTTGTAAAGCAAAATTTTCCAAGGCTTATAATTTCTGATAAGATAAGATTAAAATCAAAAATTTAGGTACAAATGTAATTTGCTTTAAATTATTTGTCTTACTGTAGATGAATGATGATTTTCAATATCTTATAATATCTTAAAAAAAAAAAATGAAAGTAAACAAAAGTTTAATTATTTAAATTAAATAATAAAAATTAGAAGTTGCCATTTGTTATAAATATTTAATATTAAATTTTTACTGAGCAATTTGAAATGGAAGTTATTTAAAGTTAACTTTATGTCATTCCACGTTCAAAAAAGAGTTTAACCTAAATCCAATTTTAGGTATAACTTAAAAGAAGCGCAATTTTCATTCCTCTCCTACAAAATGCATTACTGTATCACTGTAAACGATTTGAAAAGGGAATGATACTGTAGGACTGAAAATAATTTGAAATGGGAATTAATTAAAGTTAACTTCACGTCATTTTACGTTCAACCAAATCAATCAACCAGATCTGATCATGTTTTTGCTGATTAAATCAATCAACTAAATCAAATTTTAGATATAATCTGAAAGAAGGATGAAAATCCTTCTTTCATGAATTATAATACTGGATTACTGTAAGTAAGTATATACTGTATTTCTGGCTACAACCGCTTTGTAAATAATTAAAGAGCAATTTTTTTTTTTTATTTCTGATCAAATCTATAATCACTGGTACATTTCATGTTTTTTTTTTACCGTCTACATATCACAGCTTACTTATTACTTGCATCAGAAACAAGCCAATCTATACCTGTATTATGAATAACTTTACCAATACCTATAAACTTATCCATACCTGTACCATATACAAACTTGCTTATGCCTATATAATAAATAAAATGCACTTATATTCTCACCACTAATAAACTTGCTTATATCTGGCTGCTAATTAATTTAAAGTTCAAAAAGTAAGCATAAAAAGTTTGAAAGCCTTAAAAGTTAATTTCAAGAAAAAACTGCAAAAAAAATGATCCGATTATGTTTTCATTAATTAAATTATTTCGTATCACTTTACTTATATTATTAGTAAATAGATTATGTTTCATTTTTAATTGATAATATTACTAAGTTTCTTTTTCGTGCAATTTCCTATCGTAAATTTTGATTTAGTTTTTATAAAAATATTTAAATTTTGTAAATTAAACTCTCTTAACCAAATGATATGCAAAAGTCAAGAAGTTTTTTATTTTTAATTAACACTCAATAAGTAATAACCTTAATTAATAAATAAAATTTTTAGGTAATTGAAAAAAGCTGCATGGAAACACAATAAAACTAAAGATATAAATACATAAATATAAAATCGGAATGTAAATTCGAGTACAAAATTTTGATAAAATTTTTGCGAAATTAATATACAATTAGTTAAACATGAAATTAATTAAAAAAATCAATTAGTAAAATCAATATGCAAAATTATTAATATATTAATATGAAAAAATTTATATTCAAATGTAGAAATTACCTAAATTTATTATAATTACCTCATCATTTATCATCTCTTTTATCATAGTTTTTTGAAATTTTTTTTTTTTTTAAATTAAAATCATGAAAAAAATTGGAAAATTCCTAGCAAGTAAAGTGATATTCCAATGTTGATAAACAAAAAATGCAAAAAAAAAATTTTAATTCACTGAAGTTTTAAAGCTAAAAGTTTAAAATTTCTAATCAACCTATAGTTTTGAAAGACCAAAAGAATATTCGTAATTTAAAATCTATTACAGTAGTGAGTAATTCAAATTTTAACATTTACCTGATGTCAAACTTTGCTGTAAACTTTCAATATGGTTGAATTGCTTGTGTGACAAATTAATATTTGACAAGATTTGTTCAGCATTAACCTTTAATGAGTAGCAAATTTTTAAGGGGAAAAAAACGAATGAAAAGTTCGATGAAATATTTTAATATTATAAATTTGGAATTTTTTAATTAATCAAGTATTTGAAAGAAAAAAAAACTGCCTTTTATGGTTTTATTCTTTTCTTCATATATTATTGATCAGAGTAATTAATTAAAACAACTTTAATTTATGAATGGAAGGAAATATTAAATAATTTGTTTAATTATTGCCGATTTTTATTACTTTGTTTTCTTTTTTCTTTTAATTTATAATCAAAAAGATAGCAAATGCAAATTGTTAATTAATTTTTTGGGTAATTAAAAAAAAAGAAATTTTTGATAGCCTTTATTTATGTTTAATCAATAGCTTTTTCGAAATAACTTACAGAGATGAATGTTAATTACGATTTAAACCAAGTGTGAATGCTAATTAATTAATTATAATACTTTTACATAATTAAATGCTAATTTCAATTCTTTAAAGATTAAAAAAAATTAAAGGAAAAAGGATGTGAAAAAATTCGATATAACATTAAGAATTTTCGAAAACATTCCATGCAATATAAAAATGAACAATTAGGGGAAACGTTTTATTTTCAATTTATTCTACTTTTAAAATTTGTCACCTATCCAGTATTATTTACCTCTACTATTTGGTATAAAATTTCAAAAATTCCCGAGATATCCCGATATATTTTTTACGAATTAAAAAAAAAGACAATAAAATGATATTAAATAAAAACTTACATCAAATGATAAAATAGCAATGATGAGAAGATGATTGAAATAATTTAGAAGTAGCATTAATTAATTCAAAGAAACAAGCTAAATTAAGTAAAAATAATAGAATCAGTAATGAATAATTAATTGAATGAAAAAAAAAAAAGAAAAATATCATCAAATTTTATTTCATGAAAAGATTTAATCGATTGGATCAGATGACAAATTAATTGTTGAAATAAATATTTCATTGGAAAATTTTCATCTATTCTTTCCTATTTCTTAAAATATGAAACTGGTTCGGATAAATTTATCGTTATTTTAATTCATTTGAATTAAATTTCATTCCATTGAATACATACAAATTGTATACCGGAAATCGGAAAATTTATTTGCTTTTTTGTTTTAATTAAAATTATTCCGATTTTGATTTCCGGAACGGGAAAAAAAAGTTGATATGGTAAAAAAAAGGATAAAAAAAATAAGAAGAATATGATAAAAAAAAATACAAACAAAATTCCTGTGTAATTGGTTTTCCTTTTTTTAATTTTATTTGGTTTTTGTGTTTTTGCATAATTTTTCATTTATTATTCTTATTACTACTAAAAATTGTATGAAAATTAATAATGATTGTAAATTTAATTAAAAAATTGATCAAATTATAAATTGAAAATATTTTTGCTAATAATTAAATTGGATTAAATTTAGCTAAAAAAAAAAATCTCAATTTCTGAGTTTTATTTTATACTATAAATTTGAAGCGTAAAATTATTTTAATTATTTATGCTAATAAATTTACTGAAAAAATTATTTGAGATATAAAATTATTTCTTTTGCATTAAGTAATGAAGAATACATTTTTGGAGAATTTTTAAAGCAGCTAACAGAACATATTTATTACTAAATAAGCTTACCTTTTGAAACAGGTATTAGTAAATAAGCTTACTTTTCGAAACGGGTATTAGTAAATAAGCTTACCTTTCGAAAACAGGTATTATTAAATAAGCTTGCTTTTCGAATATTAGATACATTTCAGCTAATTACTGAATTCCCACTATAATAATTAATAACTCTCCATCAGGTTTTCTTCACCCTTTCTCTCTTCCTTTCTTTTCCACTCTTTCCCTTCTTTCCCTCTCTTCTCCCCGAAATAAAATTTTAAAATATATATTTCAATTATCGAATATTCACATTTTTTTTTTTTTGTTTAAAAAAAACGGGTAAAATTATGTCACCATATCAGTGACATAATTTTAATTATTTAGCATAATTTACTTTTTTCTCCTCAGAAAAAAAAGTTACAACATCACATAAATGTTATAATTTTAATTATTTAGCATAATTTAAGTTGAAATCACACAATTAGAAGTCTATACTCTTTGTTATGATTATATAAAGTTTAATTCCTTTTAATTCTTCGTCCAATGTCTGAAAATTTTATTTAATTCTTCGTTTTTTTTTCCTCTTTTTTAACATTACCATAAATTGTGAATGCTTTTAATTAGCACTGTCAAATCAAAAAATAAATAAATAAATAAATTTTTAAACAATTAAATGCAGTTGAGAATTCGGTTTTTT